AGGTCAGAGCTTCTCCAAAGAGCCCCTTAAACACAGTATCTCAGCACTTCCATGTCCCAAGGAGAATGCTATAAATACTATGCTTGCTTCCTCTTCAGAGCAGCTCCTTTTTGTTTACTTGGCAAGGAGTGGTAGGTTTGCAATAGGCTCAGTGACCCCAAAGGATAACGGCTATGAATGCAGTACACAGTGAGAGGAGTGCTTTTCACTGAGCCTTCGTACAGAGCTTCATGCTTGAGTTTATCATCATTTTGAGAAATGGGACTGGCATATTTTAAAGGGCTTCCCAAAATTCAAGATTTAGGTGAGTAATTGCAAAGTATTGTTGGAAGACCAATCTCAGTGGGTGATATACGTGGCCATAGGTTTGACTGTCCACCCAATTTCCATCTCATTTCTTTCTAATCCACCTCTTCTGAGCTTCAGACTCCACTTCTCATCAGCTAGGTTCACCTGGATGCCCTCCAAACCTCTCTGCCCTGTTAGCCAACTTGGTCAGGAGCACCACCATCCACCAGTTTGCCCAAGCCTTCGAGCTGGCAGTGGTGTCTGGGTCCTTCTCTCTCATCAGCCATGTCCTTCCTTCCCCCACTCTAGCTGTCAGTCACCAAGTATTGTCCTTTCAGGCTCCTCTCTGTCCCTCTCTGCGGCCCCTTCCCCTCCCATCGTCCAAACCTTGCAGCACTTTGGTTCCTAACTGGACAACTGTAGTTTCTCCCTGTCTCCTTCCTGTCTCCCCTATGGTCTGGTCCCTACTCTCTTGTCACAGTGTTATCCTGACATGTTAACAGGATCTTTCACTCCATCCTAAAAGCTTCATTTTCTCTCTCTCCGGGGCCGTTCTTGATCCAGCTTCATTTCCTGCCACTTTCCTGTGTGCACTCCTCACTCTCAACACACCACAGACTTCCATTTCTCCAAATGTGCCCGTCTGTCCCCATCTCTACTCTGCACAGGCTGTATTTGAATGCCTCCTCACCAGGTGCTCCCCAGCAAAAACAATAAACACAAAAGTAAAGTGAATTTAGTAGCAGAAAAAGCCCTGTTCTTCGTGAGTCAAACCCTCACACCCTAGAGCCTGTGATCCTTTTGATTGAATCAGATGTTCCCACCCCTTCCTGCTTGTTTAACCTTAGTTCTAATACCTAACCTTTGTGTGCCTCAGTTTCCTCATTCTTAATGTAAGAATGGCTTTTCCTTTTCTCTTTGCTCAGTGTCTGGCACATTTATCTCTGTGTCCTCGGTACGTATAGACCATCAGGCAGGTGGTAGCTGTCTAGCAATTATTTGCATGACTGTGTCTCTAAAGATGTAGCTTTCAAGTATCAGTTCAGTAATCTGTGCTAATGGCTGTGTGGAGATGAGTGTACCTTGATAGCCTGAGAATGCATAATATTTCAGGAATGAGGAGCCCACCTAGCAGGGGACTGTGGAGAGCTGGCTTCCCTGCCTGTAGGGTTACCATTTCCTACTCCTAGCTGAGGGAGAAGAGCAGCAGTAACCCTCAGACCGTACAAATTGCCGGACCTCCCACTTAGCCAGGAGCAAAGGTGACACGTGTGATTATTTGCAATTGGCAGTCTGTGTTTCATGTGTTCCAAGCGTTCATGTAGAATATGCCAGTGAGAGACCACACCTGTGGCACTGTGCCCAGGGAAGGAATAGAGTAAACTCTGGTATCTTGACATACAGCTATTTCATGATAAAATAGTGATGGAAGCTGACACACTTTTTTAACCTTATTTTGGTTGGCCACAACGTTGATTCCAGATTGAAGTAGACTGTATAGGTTGGACAAAGCCTGTCTGTGTCAGTAGCCACACGATCATTAATTCATTGATCATTCACACTCCCTCACCGTTGAGGAATCTTGTGTGCTACCCTCTGCTAAGGAGTATAGATCCTGCCGTGACACACGACCGTACACCCACTGGCAAAGAGATTATAATCCAGCGGAAGAGGTGAGGTGTGTACTTGAGTCAACATAATTATTGGTACTGTGGAAATGGCCATGTGTTTTACAGTAAGGTTTGGCTGTAAGTGATGGAGATTTTAAAACAATAGTGGCTTCCGCAGGGGGATCTCAAAATAAGGTAGAAGTTTATGTCTCCCATAAAAGGTTGCAGAGGTGGTCCAGGACTGGTTTAACCATCCATAGGCTCACTGCTAGCTCACTGTGCAGCAGGTTTAGAGTGTGATAGCCCCATCTTCCAGCCAGCAGGCTGAAGGGACAAAGAAGGGGCAGAAGGGTCATCCATGCCTTCTCTTAGGGTAGATTCCCAGAAACTGCCCCTAGATAATTTTGCTTGTCTCCTTGGCCAGAACTTAAACATGTGACTACATTAGCTGCAAGAGAAGCTGGAAAAGTCTCAGTTGATTCTGGCCATAAGCAGCTAGAAGTCCTGCTACTCTATACAGAAGTTAGGCAATAACCCCCAATCTATACCACAGGTGGTAGATGAGTTTGACAGTCCTGCCCATGTGGAATTTAGATTCAGGGGGAGGATACTGACAAGTGAATAGGTGTCAATACTACAGTGATGGGAATTATGAGTTGAGTGCAGGGTGCCATGAGAACAGGAAGGACACCTAATTCATATGGGGAGGATCAGGAAAGGTTGCCTGGAGAATAAGCAGGAATCTGTCCGGTGGAAAGAGGAAATAGGCAGAGTATTCTAGCAGAGGCTCTGAGAGAGGGGCTGGGGGATGGAGGAGCATGTGAGGAACTGAAAAAGTGAGGAAAACCAGATGAGGACGCAGAGGCCTGATCACGTGGGCCCTGGGGGGGCCACACTGAGGAGTTTGGACATTTTCCTGCAAGCTTTTAACTGGTTGTGAGGAGGTGAGTAACCAGAAAGATGCTTTTGGGGGGTGAGGAGCAGTACCAGACTGGAGGCAGAGATGATCCATCGGGAGGGAGTGCATTAATCCAGTCTAGATGACCAGAACAGTGGCTTTGGGGATGGAGAGAAGTGGGTACAAGTCCTGTCAATTTCATGGAGTTTAAGAACTGGGAAAGAGGGGCACCTGAGTGGCTCATTTGGATGAGCATCCGGCTCTCAGTTTCAGTTCAGGTCATGATCTCATGAGTCATGGGATCGAGCCCCGGGGCAGGCTCCAAGCATAGCCGGAGTCTGCTCAAAAGATTCTGCCCCTCCCCACACATTCTCTCTCTCTCTCTCTCCCCCTCTCTAAATAAATAAATCTTTAAAAAAAAAAAAAAAGGGAAAGAATTTAGAAATAACTTGGCCTGCCTTTTCACTTGACAAATGTTGAAAGTGAGGTTGAAAGTTGAAATAGCTTGCCCAGAGTCACCCAGCTAGCTGTAGAGCAGCACCCAAAACTACCTCTGCCTAAACTTGTTCTCCTTTGTCACTGATGGATCTGCCAATTTGGAAGAACAGGGCATTGTGGGCTTCTGAGAAGGCAGAGATAAAGAGAAGCTAAGAGGCTTTGGATCTGGGTCTTAAGAAATGAGAATAATTTGCACAGGAGAATGGAGAGGGCCTCTGGATAGAGCAAATTACATGAGACTGTGGAGAATCCCAGGTGTGTTTGGTGCTCCTGAGTTCTGTAGTTTGAGTCCAGTGTAGGGTACTACAAGGAAGTAGTAGAAGATAATGCTGCAGAAGTATTTTGAAATCATGGAAGCCTTTAATGTAAGACTAATGGATTAGACTTAATTCTTTAAACAACAGGGAGCCAATTAACACTTGGTATCAAAGGACTTAGTGTGATTTTCTTGACAGCAAATTCTGCATTTTTTTTTTTTAACTTTTGCCTGTCTTGGTGCATTGTATTAGGTGGTTGTGGTCAGCAGAATAGCAGCACCCCAAAGATGGCTGTGTCCTAATTCCCAGCACCTGTGAAGATGTTAGGTTACAGGGAAAGGGGAATTAAGGTTGCAGATGGAATTAAGGTTGTTGATCAGCTAACTGAAATAGGAGATTATCCCAAATTATCCAGGTGAAATCAGTGTAATTACAGGTGTCCTAAATTGTGGAAGAGTGAGGAGAAGAGAACTAGAACAGTGGTGGTGCAAGGAGACTTGGTCCAGTGTTCCTTGCTTTGAAGATGGATGAAGGGACCTTGAAACAAGAAATGAAAGCAGGAAGGATGATTCTCCTGTAGAGCCTCCAGAATGTAGCACAGCCCTGCTGCCATCTTTGATTTTAGTCTGAGACTCATTTGAGACTCCTGATCTCCTGAAATGTAAGAGAAGTTTGTTTTGTTTTAAGCTCTTTAGTTTGTGGCTGTTTGTTACAGTAGCCATGGAAAACTAAAACAATGGTATTTGTTTGCCTAGTGAAGGAGAGCTGTGCTTTAAGAGGGATCAGTGGGACAGATCCATTTGTTACAGGGATTGGCTAGGAGGAAGTTCTGCAGGTAGAGAAGTGATGGGGTGAGCCTGGAGGGGGAGGGGGTTGGGGGAGGGGAGGCTGAAATTGCAGAACTTCTACAAGACCAGAGGCCTAGGTGGCCAGGTATCCAGGGTGGGTGAGGGATGGAGTGTACTTTCTCAGGGCTGAACTCCAGGGAAGGTTATAGAGCTGGTAACAGAAATATGGGGATCAGAAGGAAGAGAAGATTGTAAGAGAAGTATGATGAATTCAGTTTCTGGCTTACTGAGTTTGAGGTTCAGGAGCTTTACATGTGTGGAGGTGGAGAGAGAGCAGATGCAAACTGGCCCTCGATGTCTAGGATTGGGATGCAGGATTGGGTGTCACTGGTCATGATTTTTATCTGTACTGTTTCTTTAAATTTCTCCAGCGTAGAGACTCAGCAACCCTTGTAAAAAATCCAGTTATGTTATATTCCTTAAAATTAAGTTTTTCCTAGTGCTTTACCAAAATTATTTCTGCTGCCATTCGGATTCTATATACCCTTAAACTTTTTAATAAATATAATTAATACTAAATAAATAACCAATACATTTAAGTAAAATAAAAATAACATACTTCTGTGACCCTGTCTTGCATATTTTATGTTCTGTGCTGCAGGTCACCTTCCCAGAAGCCTCTCTGGTTCAGGTTGGTCTGTCACCGTGCTGGTCACTTGGGGTCCTATTTCCAGGTCCTGAAACTGTGAGATCTCCCTTACTGAGTCAGGTAGGATGGAGCCCTAAGCAAAGCTTGGCTTGTGCTGGACAAAGAGACATGGATGCTTCTTGCTGTATCACTTCCATAGCTGTTTTAGAAGTATCAATTTGCTGTTGAACTATGTATACACCTATTTTAGGCGTGGTTACATCCTGAAAGTTCTTGGTTTCCAAATTCCTTTGTTCTTCATAATGAGCTTGGTTGTAGTGATTGAAATTACAGCCTGTTTCCTGAGAAATGGGAGAGAAACCATTTCAGGGCAACTGTGTAGAACGTATTGAGATGACAGATTTTTTTTTCTGTGCACCACATTGCCTTCCCTTCCCATCAACTGCCTGTTGATGCTGTTTTATTTGTTTGATCACTGCCCTTTACTTGGTGGCATTTGCACCATGTAATTGGAGCTTAAAAGAAGAAAAGGAAGATGTTTCAGTAAAGACTGTACTAAATATAATTAAATTTTTTTAAAGCCTCTGAAGATAGGAGGTATGACTAATAATGACTTCCATAAACCACACATGAAATCACTTTGATTTCATTGAGTTACTTATATTTAATTCTTCAAAAAAGGAAATACGGGGTACCTCGGTTGCCAGTCGGTTAGGGGTCTGCCTTCGGCTCAGGTCATGATCCAGGGGTCCTGGGATGGGCCCTGTGTTGGGCTCCCTGCTCAGCAGGGAGTCCGCTTCTCCCTCTGCCTCAGTTGTTCCCCCTGCTTGTGCTCTCTCTCTCTCTCTGTGTCAAATAAATAGATAAAATCTAAAAAAGAAAAAAAAAGTTTCAAAAAAGGACATAAGAGTGAAACAAATCTCATTCTGGCTAGACCAACTAAACTTTCTGTTCTCCCTTCCCTTTGCCCTTTGATTAAGATTTATGTGTCCTAAATTGTAGGTTGTCATTTACATTAATCGGTATCCCTATAAGACAAAGCCCCCCCAAACATCCAGAAAGCGGAAACCGAGTGTAAGATGGTTTGAAGCCCTGTTGAAAAGGAGAGGAAGGAGAAAGTGTTGGTCTCGTTCGGTGCCCATTAACAAGTCAACTTTTTCTTTGAATTGAATTCTTGTTTCCCCTAGTGAAACAAGTCTGCTTGGCTTATAGGCATCTCTGTAACATTGTCCAAACTAAGAAAGCAAATAGAGGAAACATTTTGTGGAGAGAAACTTACAAAAATACCTGCTCTGTGGCTATGACCTAAAGGTGAATGCTCTGAGCTCTGGATGAAAAGTATGGAGTTTCTTCCTAACAGATGGGAGTAGGTAATGTACCTTTGAGCAAGTAAGTGTTAAGCTTCACACAAGATTTGTTCTCTCATTGACACTGCTCTGTTCCAAACAGATACACTTCAAACAGTGAAAGAAGTCATGCTTGGAGAGGTGAAATGTCACTCTTAGATTCTTATTTTGGAGGAGAAGAGAGTGTCATGCAGTTTTCTCCCTCTTTTGTTCGTATCCATTCTTTGTCTCTCTCTGCTGACCTGCTTTTTCTTCCTTCAGCTGGGACTCTGCTTTCCTTCTGGTAATTAGAATATTTCTGTACAATGTCAGGGCCATACCTGCACCTGACACCTCATTTAGAGGAAGAAAGGAGGTGAGCACACAGCCCAGCTGGTGATGCTGGGAGTAGATAGTGACCATGCTGCAGCCTGTCGGGGGGAAGCTTTCTGTCTGAGGAGGCTGCGTTTTGAAGTTTTGAAAAACCTGCATGATGCTAACTTGAACTGAATTGCAAAATGAGTCTAACGAGGACCTGGTGAAAATTGACAACTGAAGTGACAGCAGACAAATGGAAAGTGTGGTTTTTTACAAGGTGTTTTGTTGTGGCAAATTGAAGTCAGGAAAATGAATTTTTGACTTTCATTCTAAGCTAGCCTTTTCTCTTTCTATAAAAAGAATATATAAGTACTTCAGCTTTTGTGTCGTGGTTGATGAATGGACATATTCTCCTTGCAGAGCTGCCTAATGTGATTGAGCCACAGGAAACTTGCAGCTCTTGTTATTTATGACTTTAAATTTTAGTTTTTGGTGAGTTAGAGTGTCCACGAGGAGTAGCCTCATTTGGAGGGGGAGTCAGTATCATTCTTTGACTAAAGAAACTTTCAGAGTTTTTATGCCCACATAGTAATGTGAAAATCAGCTCATCCTGTCTGATTGGCGTTGAGTTTCTCATCATACCATACTATATATAACTTGATGAGCTGGTGAGGAATCAGTAAGAACTTAATTATCTCATGGGGTACTTTATTTTTTTTAATTTAAATTTAATTAATTAACATATAGCGTATTATTGGTTTCAGAGGTAGAGGTCAGTGATTCATCAGCCTTATATAACACCCAGTGCTCACTACATGATGTGCCCTCCTTAATGTCCATCTCTCAGTTACCCAGCCCCCCCCAACCTCCCCTCCAGCAACCCTTAGTTTGTTTCCTATAATTAAGAGCCTCTAATCTCATGGGGTACTTTAAAATATATTTATTATGTTTCATTCATTATCGTTAGCTTGCTTTCAGAATGACTACATTTAAACGAGGTTCAAGTATTTGAGGGTGCAGTTTTTAAACTCTGTACTCCAAGTGAAATTTAACTCCCACTAAAGTATAAAGACATTCTTTTTGAAGTATATTTGGGATATTCACTGTTAAATTGGGAAGCTAAATTTATAATATCTTTTTAGTAGTAAAACCTTGTAGAGAGGGAAAGATTCTATACACAATTGTTAATACATCAGCTCTCAAAACTTTTGGTCTTAGGACCTACAACTTTTAAAAATTAAGAACTTCAGAGAGCTTTCATTTATGTGGGTTATATCTTGGTATTTACTCTATTAGAAATTATTTTTAAATTATTTTTAAATAATTTAAATGGTAATACATCTAAAAATAATAATGAGTCCATTACATGATAACATAAATAACCTATATTTTCCAAAACAAAAAAATTAGTGCAAGTAGGCATTGTTTTGACATTTTTACCAACATATTACGCATCTGGCTTAATGAAAGACATCTGGGTTCTTTAATCTGCTTCTGCATTCAATATTTTGGTATATCACACATCATGCAGTCTCTAAGACACTTTACAATGATGAGAGAGATGAGATTAAACACATAATCTCTTAATAATATAGCACAAATAGTTTGGGTCCTGTGGAACCCCTGAAAAAGGGCCCAAGGACCCTCAGGGGTGTCTGGCCTATACTTTGAGAAACCTGTTCTAATCAGATCCTATTTATTTAATTTTAAAATAAGGACTGCCTTTCTACTTAGCTACGAAAACATCTTTTTTTTTTTTCTTTTCTTATTTCAGCAGCTATTACCTCCTGAATGTCACCTTCATATTTGAACATCATTAGGTAGGCTGGTTTAGGTCATTTTATCAAATAAATGTGTGGGGTACCCTATTTAGGATAATATTTAAAAGTAAATCCATGCCCTCTAACAATACTGGTTGCTTGTGTGGATGCTCATGGAAGACTGTAGTGGTCAGTTTTTTTAAAATCCAAAGCAGAAAGGACTAAATTAAGAGACTAAGGTCTCAATAGCATAAATAGCTTTTTAGATGTTCATTTTATTTTTTTATTTGTCCCATTCTGTTTGCTATTTATACATTAATATTTGGGCCTTTAAATTGACTGTTTTTTGGAATAGTTTTTAAAATAGCTGATTTATTTTTTTGTTCATGCCTATTTGATATTATTTGCCTATTTGACTTTTTCTTTAACTGTTGATTTTGGACAATGCTTTTGCTTTAATAAAAATTTGTTGCATCCTGTCCCACTTCTCCATCTTGTTCTGTTTACTCCATTTAACCTTTGTAATTTCATGTGTTAAAGAAAGGTTCTTCTGACCTTTTTTTTGTAATGTCTGATGACGTAGAACTCTAGTTGGGGTTTAGTAAGCACTGCATGCACCTCTCCTTGATTTTACTCTAGAGGATTCTTTCAAAATGTTCATAGCCTCTGGTTCTGTGATCTCTACATCAGGTACATAGTGAACAGCACTATTTCTACATACCAAGATTTTTCCAGGAGGTATATTTTGCACTGTCCAATATAATAGTCAGTAGTAGCCACAGGCAGTTATTCAGCACTTGAAATATCACTAGTGCAACTGAGGAGCTGAGTTTTTAGTTTAATTTTAATTAATTTACTTTTAAATAGCTACATGGGGCTCATGTCCCTCTTATTGGGCAGTGCAGCTCCAAGGGTGTCTGGCAGCTTCTTTTTAATGACTCATGCCTGGCTCTTTCTTGACCTCAGTTTCTTGCAGTCTCTTCCATTCATTTTTAGAAGTTTTTTGGTGTATTTTGTCAGTTTTAGAAGTGTTGTAGCAGGTAGATTTCACTGTCTGTAGACTGCCTTATCACTGGGGAGGGAACTAGAGGGAATGTTGGAGCTGAAGAAATGGAGGCTGTTGATACTGGCTGCTTTTTATGAGATTTTGAGTTGCTTCTAGATGAGATTTAAGAGGAAAACAAGGTTAAGGGAAGGATTTTTAGGTTGGGGAGACTTGAACAGATTTGTCAGCCGAAAAAAGAATCTTATAGACAGAGGAAATTGAAGGTAAAAGGAAATCGGAGTTAAATAAATTCTTGAAAGAGGCAGGAAAGGATCCAGAGTGCAGGTGGGAAGATGGAAAGCCACTTTTTATGAATTTGAAGGGAAAAGAATGATTTTTTTTTTTTAAGCATTTGAATTTTTTTTTGAAGTGAAAACCACATAGTATTACCCATTTTAAAGTGGACAATTTGGTGGCGTTTAGTTCAACCACAATGTTGTGCTCCCATCACTTCTAATTCCAGAACATTGTTGTCGCCCCCTAAGGAGACCCTGGGCCCATTAGCGGTCACTCTTTTCTCCCTGCCCCCACAGCCTCTAGGCCACCACTAATCTTTCTATCTTGATGCATTTGCCTGTTCTGCATATTTCATATAAGTAGAATTATACAACATATATAACCTTTTGTATCTGGCCTGTTTCATTTAGCATAATATTTTCCAGGTTCATCCAGGTAGTAGCATGTAAAAAGTGACATGACTTAAGGAGAGGGAGTTTTTAGGAATTCATCTTGACATTTCGAGTCTCAGCAAAATCAACAGTTCCTCCAGTTGGAGTTCCCTAGGATTAAGGTTCCACAGAGGTGGACACAGCATCAAGAGTATTTATGGAATGGCTGACTGTGACGTCCATTCTGAGCAGGGAAGTGCACTCCCAGGGGCCAGAGCTGGGGGCAGGGGGGGCGGATCAGAGGTCTGAATCTGGTGGTAGTCATCACCAGAAGCAAAATGACTGCCGTGGGGGGAATGGGGAGGGGGAGTGGATGGGAAGGAACTTGCTTTAAAGAGGGGGAGGAATGTCCTCTTTCAAAGCGGGGTAAATTTGAGGTCCCAAGTTAGAGAATAGATGTGGAAACAGGAGCCCATCTAAAGTGGGGGTAATCTCTTATGGTCATAAGTCAGTGTCACCCAGAACTGCTCGCTGCAGTGAGCAGGTGGGCAGACCCAAGTTTCTGAGGCGGCAAGTGAGGTGGAAGGCTCTGTAATTGTGGCCTGCTGGGTAATGATGCAGCACTGCTGCTCTGAGGACTGCTCACTCAGGTGGAAGCAGGGGGAGGTGGGAAGCAGATGTGGAGTTTCTTTCTGCTTCTTTGAAGTTGAGTCAGCCATTCTGGTTGCTGCTGAGATTAGTGATGGAGTCCAGCGGTGTTGACAAGCAAGGCCACCGCAGGGCTCAGCTGTCTTCTCCTGATTGTCTCCAGAATAAAGTTCTAAGGACTTACTGGCTTCCAAAGTTTTCCCCATTTTGTCCCCAGTCTGCTGTCCAGCCTCACAACCCAGCATACCACCTGTTCCACACACACCTCCTGTGTGCCGTGCACTGAGCTGATGGTACCTGGTGTACCAGACTAGGCACAGCCCTCAAGGACTTACATACTAACTGTTAAATGGTATTTGGGTGTGATTGGAAAGTAAACTGAAAGTCCTAACCTAGACTTGGGCTTTGAGGGGAGGAATCAGGGGAGATTTCTCTGGAGTGACCAATCTGTTCTAGGAGGGTTGCGGCATAAATAAAGAGAAGCAGGAAGTGGGACAGGTGGACGAGGGTGCTTCCATGCATAGGATCTGCCAGAGTAAAGGTTGCAGTGGGGAAGGGGAAAGGAAGCGGGTGTGGTTGGGGGGTGGAGCACTGGAGGGGAAGGCAGAAGCTGAGCTAGAAGCTGGTGTGAGCTAGTGCATGAAAAGGGCACTAAGCAAAGTGAGGGACTGTAGATTGTATCCAA